GTCTTGAACTCCCGACCTCAGGTGATCAGCCCACCTCAGCCTCCCAAAGTGCTGGGATTACAGGCGTGAGCCACCCGTGCCCGGCCTCCTTTTATTTTTTTAATGACACAAATGCTTTGCCTGGTCCCTAGGCCATTTCTCCTATGGCTCTCCTGCCCTTGAGAATTAAACTGTCAATTTTGATGGCATTGATATATGTGCAGGAATGAGCAAATAAGGCTGAATTTTCTGTGAATGGGTACCAAAGGCGGACTAGAAATATGAGAACTTGAGGCAATAGGAAAAAATTGAAAGGCATCTATTTAAAGTCAAAAAGTCAAATAAGGTTATGAACCAAAATGTTCATCAATCTCTGGGTAAGGTAGAGTAACCTGAACATCACAAAAAGTAGGGTTAGGGTAAATAGAAGAAAGGACTATTATATTTATGGAGTTCATTTTGTTACACTAGAAGAAAGGACTGTTATATTTATAGAGTTCATTTTTTCACCGGGTGACAGAGGCTGAAAAGACACATGACTTCAAGAAAAAGCACCCATGTAATGGATTTTAAGGGAAGTCAAGAGTGGCCCAGCACAGCATCCCTAGCCTTAGAGGTTGACCACAAACCAGAGAACCAAGCTTTTGCAGGAAACCTCAAGGCCATCTTCACACAGAATATACTAGTCTGCAAGACAATGGGTCAGACCCACTGAGCAAGTCTTAAATTCCTATTGGAAAGCAGGAACTCCCTAAAGGGAATACATATTAGAGAAAAGTAAACTGTCTGGTCATCTGCTAAACCATTTCTGGGCAAATAAAGACAAAAGGTCCAGAAAGACATCCCTTAGTTCAAAAATCTCACTAACCCAAAACAAAAATGAAAAGACTCATTCACTAGTCTATGGTCTCCCCCTAAAATAGGAATCCACTCTGTTTTCCCATCACCTAAGTCAGTGCCTAGCATCTAATGGGGTTTGATAATTCTGGTGTTAACAAGTTCTGCTCTAAAACTGTAAGTATCTCCTAGAGAGCATTAAACTAGTTATAATCAGTCATTTACACCACCATGGGCCTCACAAATCTGGAGTTAACCACAAACGTGGGGTTAACAAATTTCAGAAATTATCAAAGCATCTATGTTGGCACAGTAAGGAATACAGAACAAACCAGAACATATCCTTGGCTCCTGGAAAACTAAACACTAAGATCATTATACCTTCAGAGATCAGAACACAGTTAAAGGCCAAACTCCAAAACATACGTGAAAATTCAAAAGAATACATAAAAAAGGATTAGATTGGTTGCTATTAATATCATACCAAGAAAAACATTTATTTGGGAGTGTTCTTTTTTTTTTTTTTTTTTTTTTTTTCGCCCAGGTTGGAGTGCAGTGGGGCGATCTCGGCTCACTGAAAGCTCCGCCTCCTGGGTTCACACCATTCTCCTGCCTCAGCCTCCCGAGTAGCTGGGACTATAGGTGCCCGCTACCACACCCAGCTAATTTGGGAGTGTTCTAATCTAATTGCTGTTAAACTAAAATTAATTTTTAGTGGGCATAAAGCCTTGTACTCTCATATACACACCCAAAAGCCATCCTTTTGATGGGCTTAAGCATAATACAGAAATTCAGTATTTACCAAATAAATAAATAAATAAATAAATGCCTATTTGATCTGTAACTAACTTTACAGAATATTACAGTACTCATTTCAACAGTATAAATTTGAAACATCAATTATTTAGCACCAATGATCTCATCTAACACTTCTTTTCCTCTCCTCATTCACAGAGAAGCTGACACCGTAATTAGCACTTCCCTTCAGAAATGATGACCGCTTGACTCCTTCTTCAGCAAACCCTGGATCCAGCTCCATGACCTACGGGAAACTCAACTGACAGCCCCTACCACATAAAGAAGTCGAGTTCAGGCCCAGTGGTCTAAAACTGTTGTATGCCATCGCTTCTGACCTGTGTGTGTAAATCCCACTTTACTATGGGACAAAGGGAGTGGGGACAGGAAAGGGACAGGTAGTAGATGGGGGCTGAGCTGGGAGTGGGGGTCAGGAGGTGATAGAGTGTCATCAAGAGAAAAACATGTCCCAGTGGCCAAAACATAGTTGATAATTGTGACTTCTATGACATAACACTCTCACAAGAAAAGATCCCAGTGGCCATTGTTTCTTCTAAGAACAATGGTTTCCAGTTAACACATGGCCAGTCTGTGAGATGATGCAGTGCACTGACCTGTGTATAATACACACTCACGGAATTAAAGGATTATTAGGATACCGGATGTCCAAACACTGCCACAATGTGAGCCCTCTGAAATAATAAAACTGCAAGCAACAGCAGTATTAGACATTGAAAAGATGACAGCAACTCTGCTCCAATCTCATGTGCCAATAACTGGGCCACAAAAGCCTGGCAAAATCAGGCAGCCTATACTCTGTAAATTCTACTTATTTTTGTTTGAAAAGAGCCTGGGAGTTGTACATCCTAAAGAACCATAGCCATTTCCCCCCTCTCTAAATATATCAACACACCAAAAGGTCAAAGGTTCAAGGGTAGGAAAGATCAAAGCAATAAATCAATATAAAATGAAAAATAAACAATGCAAATATATTATATTCTATTGTAACATGGGCATTAAGGAAAGAAAATAAGAATGAGAAAATGAATTAACTGCTAATAAGCAAACTCATAAATCCCAAGACCTCAGACGAATGAAGCAAAGCACAAAGCCACAAAAGCACCAGTCCTTTCGATAGACAGCTCTACCTAAGTTACAAGTAGCTCCAAATGACACTGCTATGCTTATTGGTTCCAGGAAAACAAAGGAAAGAAATCGGAATGACCAGCCTCCCTGCTGACCTCCACCCAGACGCTTACACAGTTATCATCACTGGACACTGACTATGGAAGAAACGCCAGCAGAGGGAAACGTGAAGGCTATGGGCAACTGAGGGCTTGGTAGAGACCAGAGACCAACCCATCAAACCAGAAGGCAGGCTCCAGGACTGTCAGGCACAAGTACACACAAGCCTTACATATATTCTCTATCAATATTCTGCTAATGGCAAAAAATGGCTGAGACCTCTAATAGAACACCACAATCAAAGTATCAGCCGGGCACGGTGGCTCACATCTGTAATCCCAGCACTTTGGGAGGCCAAGGTGGATGGCTCACCTGAGGTCAGGGGTTCAAGACCAGCCTGGCCAACATGGCAAAACCCTGTCTCTACTAAAAATACAAAAATTAGCCGGGCATGGCGGTGCATGCCTGTAATCCTAGCTACTCGAGAGGCTAAAGCAGGAGAATTACTTGAACCCAGGAGGCGGGAGGTTGCAGTGGCCGAAACTGCGCCACTACACTCCAGCCTGGGCAACAGAGTGAGACTCCGTCTCAAAACAAAAACAAAAACATAAGTATCATAGGCAAATTCTTGAGTGATACATCCAAACAGTACATACATTTAAATGTGTACTCCAAATTTTTTTTTAAATGTTAAAGTACACTTATGCATGGTCACAGAATTTCAGGATTCCTAAAGGGATCTTAGAAGAAAACTTCCAATTCAACTCTTTTTAAATCGCGCTGAGCTGTTGTGTAACTCTACTAAAGCCAAAACAAGTTTAGTGGCAGAAGCAGGACCCAACTCTCCCCACAGTTTATAAAATGCTTTTTCCAACTCAGAGCAAGTGACCTTGAAAACCGGTTGGGTGACAAAGGCACAATATTACTGGTCACTAAGATAGCAAGCAACAGACAAGTAGCACGCAGTAGGAATTTCAGTAAGAGCAAAGAACAGCTGAAATTTCAAGGCGGGTAAAAGCCTTAAATGTATGCAAATTTGAAAAATTAACATTAAATTGTGGTAGCCCTGGTTTTCTTCTGAGTTTTAGCGGGCAATCCATTGCTTCAATAAAACCCAACGAAATCTATGCATTGTGTAGCCTAATTTAAAATGTAAGGCCAAACAGATCTGGAAAAGTACCGCTTTATCCTTGTACTTAATTTATACTATAGTGTACCGTAATTAAGCCTAAAATAAAAGCTATATTCTGAGTAAAGACAAAAAGCTCTTGTTAATGACATTCCATTCTCAATGTAGACTGTAACAAAAGGCTTCTTCATTTGCAGCCAACTGTCATTATACTTTGTAGCTGTATGGAGCTACTGGACTAATATTTGTACTGGGATTAGTGTGGGGATAACCAATCAGTTAACTCCTCCACTGCGGTTTTCTATTATCCTCAAATAAATGGCCAAAAGGGAAAAAAAGAAAATTGGCCGGTAGAACAACAACGATATTTATGAGATTAAACCCTCAAACCCTTCACAGTTTGCCGGGCAACTAATAACCATTTGCCAAGCTGTTCATTTAATAATGAGTCAGCTAAGCCAAAAGCAAATGTTCCTTCAACCAACCATTGCTACTATAGTCATATCCACACTGACAAGCTCCAATTATTTATATGAGGTACTCATTTAGAGTAAGTACAAATTGCCGTGTTAAGAAAAACAAACTCCTCTCATTAGCCAAATGCAAGCTACAGAGCATTTTTTAAAAATAACTCAAATCTGTGTGATGCTATAATTTATGAAAGCTAAAATGACCAACAAATAGTTTGGGGGGCAACTTCCATTTGTGTCACACATTCTAGACGGAGGGCCAGAAGCTCACCATTCAAAACTGCAGTCGGTAATCCTGACATGTTAGGTTATGCCACAGTGTGTGCCCTTGATACAGCAAGTGGAATGCCAACGCTGAGGCCATTCTCACCTTGGGATTACTTGAACTGAGCAAAATACTGTTTCTCAAAGCAAAGGAAGGTGTTCATTGTACGACACAATCACAAAGTATAGTCTCATTAATCTGGGGAGCAGGAAGTGGTAGGGGCTGCTTTCCAAGAAATGCATATGTCAAAATAGGAGATTAACACCTTTCTCCCAACCATCTCCATATACCCATAGGTTAAAAAAAGCAACCCGCAGGTATTCCCTGCACTGTTACTTACTAATAGTTCATCCATACTGGTCTGGCATTTTTCCAAGTTGATCCGTTTTATTGCTACACGTTCTTGCCTGGGTTTGCATAGGGCTGCTTGAACCACAGCAGTAGCTCCACTGCCTGCAATGAAATAAAAACATCAGCGATCAAATGGCACACTGTGAGGTTACTATCTGTAACTATTTTCCTAAAGATCAATTTTTTTAAACTCTTCTATTGAGAGTATTCAGAACATTACCATTTGACATCTTTTATTTAAAAGAGTTTCTTAAATCCTAAAATAATTATCTGGAGGAGGAAAAAAAAAAAAACCACTGCATTTTCCAGACAATGTATGTCTGAGGACACAGGGGACAAGGGACATGAGCATCTACATACAACCTTGCAAGAAAGCCATTTCCATCCTCAGTTCCTGGTATTTTCTAACTTGAGTGCCTTTAAAACATCTCAAGCTCTTCTTCCACCTCAGCCCAAACCAAACCACTCTGGTCTGAGCTCCTTCAGGGCTTTCATGAGAAGCTGAGATAATTGATCTGTCTGAACACTCTTTGAGCTTATTTCTTCAGAGCTTTCTCCACAATGAGAAAAACAAGAATCAACCCTAGTATTTTCATGTTGAAAGCACAACTTCCAAGGATGCCAAGCAAAATGATGCAAATATGTAATTACAAAAGCTCCTGACATTCATATAAATTTTCTATTTCTAAGGTTTAATGATCATTAGCTAATGCACTCAGACTCCTAAGAGACAGTCATGTCATTATCCATATTTTATAAGAGTGAAATGTAGATGTGTAATGATTTGCAGCAGAGCACAAAGAGCTCCTAATCGGTTTCATATTCCATAGGGGCAAAAAGGTCTTCAGGTTAAGGCATCTCGATTCTGCAAATAATACCAAAAATGCCATTCTCATCACATAAATCCTCCAGCACTGCAAGACAGCCAACAAGAGAAACAGCCTGCACTCAGGATTGTGCAAAGGTGGTCAGAGGTGACAATCCTTCTTCGTAAAGTTTTTCTTCGGTAATACTTCTCAAATGATTCATCAAATAGCATTACAAAAGGGAAAGCAGGGGAGTATCTGGCAACAAGAGAGATCAGTATTAGCTTTCCTAATATATGTGATAGAAAGGCATGACATTTCTAGTGCGAATCAGGGCGTTCCCACCCCAAGGAAGGGTCAAAATGGGTGTTTACAGGCCTGGAGCTCTGCCCTATCTTCTGCCCTGTGGCCTCATCATCAGCTCTGGCCCCCTGACTTGGCGACCCCAGCAGATTACCCTACTCCTCCAAACCCAGGTCTCCAACTTAAAAGACTACCATTCCAGGGAAGCCCAATTTGTGTTCACTGGGAAAGAAAATCCACACACACATACTGACCACCCACTGCACAGTAGGCACTTGACTCCTTATGAGCCTGTACATTTTTATTACTAGCCTCATTTTACATGTGAGAACACTGGGACTCAGAAAATTTGCCCAAGGTCACATAGAGCTAGTAAGACCCTGAGCCAGGATCAGCATCAGGTCTGCCAGACTCCGAGATCTGTGCTTTTGTTCTACTTCCCACAAGCCAGAGCACATCCTTCCCTTCCTCACTTGCTCTGGCCTTGCTAGGAAAAAACTTTCTTCCATCCTATATGGTTCAACAGAAGACAAACATCCTAGAGGAGGGTCTGCATGAGCCTCACTTGCTAGAGCTCAGTCTGGGAAGAGAGTGCTGTGGACAGGTGGCTTGAAAGGGCCTTCCTCTTCCTAATCTCACTGCTCATCCATCAGCTGCTACCCCATTGGCTGCTACTCCAGGTCCCACTAGGTTGGCTTCACTGGCCCTGCAGATCACAGCCCACTGGGTTCAATCCAGAATGGTCCAGATGGCAGAGCCAAACACCAAAAAAAGTCTGCTGATAGCAAAGTGTATTTTCCAATCTCCAGAACACGACACTATCACTGAAGGGAGTCACAGAGAAAGTGCTATGCAGCTGGTTAGCACTGGGCCTGGTACCCATCAGAGAAATCAACAAACATCTTTAGCTGCTGATGGGAAACCATCCTCAGCTCTACCTGCAAAAAGTCTTCCCCCAGCTCAACTTCTCCAACCTTAATCCACATTCCAGAACATTCTCAAATCAAGGAGTTTCAAAAACAGGAAAGAATAAATTAATTCCCAGAAAGGACAAAACAAGCATATGTAATACAGGGATACCTCTCATAGTCAGTTAAGTCCTTGACAGTGAAAGTCTCCTAACCTCCAAGGAACAAAAAGTAAGAATTCTAAAAACAGGGAGGGGTAGGTGGTGAGAAAAATCTTTTATTGAGCTTTACAAGTACAGAAGTATTACTGCTTTACAACCACAGCTGACTAAGGAACAACTGGCTACTTCTCATCTCTAGACAGAATAATTAGGAAGCTTTGTGACCTGAGATCACTGTCACAACATGAATGGATTTAATCATTCATTAAACCATTTGGGAGATTCTACTCTAAATCCAAAGATTTCCCTTCTGTAGAAGAGACCAAGAACAAAGTTAAAGGTGGAAAGGCACCTTAAAGAGCATCAAGTCCAACCCCCTCACCTTATGAATGAGAAAACAGGGTCTTGTGAAGGATAGGGATGTGCTTCCTGCAGCAACTGGAAAACACAGGATTAGGACCCTAGGCATCCTTATTCCTCATCCACCATTCAGTGCACCAGGTTAGTGTTTTTTCCAATTGCCAGTGAGGATCCAGCCCTGGTCCAATAGGATTAGTATCCTTACAAGAAGAGACAATAGAGAGCTTACTTTCCCTCTCTGCCATATGAGGACACAGCGAGAAGGTGACCATTTACAAGCCAGCAAGACAGCCCACTAGAAACTGAATTGGTCAGCACATTGATCTGGACTTCCTAACCTCCAGAACCGTGAGAAATACGTTTCTGTTGTTTAAGCCACTCAGTGTATGGTATTTTGTTACAACAGCCCAAGCAGACTAATACAAAAGCCTTGAAATGTCTGTTCAAAGTCATTCTTCCACTAACACCTATGGCAGAGAATGCCATACTAATTAGAAGTTCTTAGAAACTTCCTAATGAAGTCAACAGCAAATGGCAAGATTCAACTGAAAGGCCTCTGGTAGCTCATTGCAGTTCGCATCTTAGGTTAGTAGGAGCCTTGAAAAGAAGGTGAGACAGGGATTCTATCCAAGCATGGTATTGATTCCCTCTGTGACGAAATCAACTTACTGGGTGGAGGCCAGCACTGTTTAAAGGAAGCATCAGAATGTACTAGGGGTAAAAACTGCCTTATGAAACTTTTGTTTCACTTATGCCCAAGCTTTAGTATGACATGTTTTACTGTAAGTGATGATCAAAAGTTTGAAGTCTGTTAGTACTAGATGAGGATTCCCAGGATCAGAGTAAATCTGTGCTTTGAAAGGAAAGGAAGTGACCTAACTGCATAATTCTAAAGGGCATTTAGAAATAATACCAAGGCTATCTTGCTTTAAGGGTTTTTATGCACTTTGCTGATTAGTTTAAGAGGAGGCTAAAAAATGTGGGGCTTGTATATACAGGAATTGGACAAGGGTTAGCAACATGAAATAAAATAGGAGCAATGAATATGCTGAACAGCACTTTGTATTTATTTTGAACAATATATGATATTGACACGACTCATTAACATTAGTAGCATATTTTCAGTGAAGTATCATGCACTGCTTTGGGAATAAGAGTTCTTAACATTTTAGGCATTTCTCATTTTATTCCTGACTCCTATTTCAAGTGCAATAAATCATTCTATAGGATTACGGCCTGTATGCACATATGCACAAGCTAAGTGAGCGAGGCTTTAAATCTTTTCAGTTCACTCTTTCAAGTCACTCTGTCTCAATTCGCTGTTGCTAATTCCCGACTAAGAACGGCTACTTGGAAGTTTTAGATAGTGATTATGTCAATGGCAATCAGAGGGAAGAGATTCCTCACGTTCACTACCATGACGCAGATTTTTCCTTTAGTTGACACCTCTTCTCATTTTCCCCTCCATATTGCTGCTGGTATTAAGGTGAATAACCAGAACACTGCATACCTGCATTTTATACTTTCAGCTATCAAAAAAAATATTTCATGGAAATATAATTTAGTATTATCTCTCTGCATTTCACTAAGGTCTATATGAAATTAACATGAAAAACTTCAGTGTTTCTTTTGCAAAAATCACTACTATTGTCAAATGCAGTCTCAACAGTATGTTCAAAGTCCCTGCTCCTATGACTCACACAATAACTTCCTCTTTGCATTTAGTGCTAGTGTAAAAATGTCTTCCTCCCAAGTAACTTAACAGATAATAATAAATATGTCACATCATATTTTCCTTTTTTGTCCTGTCAGAAAGCTCAAACCTATATTTTGTGTTAAAACAGCAACTCTCCTTAACCCAGGTTTCCTGTGAGGACTTCTCCTTGCCCTCTCCGTTACACAGCACCTATTCCTTTATGCTTAATTTAGTGGTACCTCCAACACATGACACAACGTTCCTAGAGTCTACCAAAGCAAAACCTCCTTGAAACATCACTACCTGATCACCAAATGTGAAAGAATATGCTTAACAGCTCCAAGAAAACTTTAGGCACAAAAAAAAAAGCAGCAAAAAGATATTTGCTTATATTAATTCATCAACAAACAGCAAAATACTATGTAGCAGGCAGTTCACTGGCTAATAAAGTGCCAAAGGTGACCATTCCTGTTTCAAGCAGAATAAATCCTTCTATAGGATCACTTCCTCTGCAGAGGTTAACAGGGATGACTGAAATGCTGTTATGGACTGAATGTGTGTTCCCGTAAAATGTCTATGTTGAAGCCCTAATCCCCAATGTGACTATATTTAGAGATACAGCTGCAGATAATTACCACCTTTATGGAGGTAATTAAAGGTTAAATGAGGTCATCAGGACACAGCCCTGGTCCAATAGGATTAGTATCCTTACAAGAAGAGACAACAGAGAGCTTACTTTCCCTCTCTGCCATATGAGGACACAGCGAGAAGGTGACCGTTTACAAGCCAGCAAGACAGCCCACCAGAAACTGAATTGTCAGCACATTGATCAGGACTTCCTAGCCTCCAGAACCATGAGAAATACGTT